GTGTGTGTGTGTGTGTGTGTGTGTGCTGTTTGGTGTTGTGGCGGGGACACGACACGTCTGCTGGAGGAACGTGTTCCTTTGAGGGAGCCGGCGTGAGCGGGGCGGTCGGGACGACAAGCCCATTTAATTATCAGGTTCAGAATTAGGGCACACTCGGTCCGCACGTACTCCACTGCAGCACTGCAGCTACAAAAAGGCAATTATGTCATCCGCCACTTAATGATGGCATGATGGAAGAGATCGATGAGAGGCTGCAGAGAGGGCGCCTGATGAGGCAACTGCCAGATACTGTTGAATACATCAAACACGCACACAGCTGAAGGCCGCGATCCATACCGAGCGTCAATATTTCTGCTTTGGTCTCAGCCTCCAGGAAGAACGGAGCTCACACAAAACAAATGTACTGGAAGTGTGAGCAAGTGTACACCGAAATGTAATAACTCTCCTGTCTGTCTACTGGTTGACGGAGCGGATGGAAATAGACAGTTCCTCTCACGCCTTTTTTTTTAAACACCCACGTTGGTGTAGTGTTCAACCTTTTTGGGTAAAATTAGGCTGCTATGCTGCTGCACTGAGGTGGTTTTAGTTCAAAATGTTTTATAACCCAATTTGAGGCTGTGTGAAAGTAATAAAAATACTTTTATTTATTCAAATCCATGTAAAAAGAGCAATATCACTATGCCTACACTTAATCTTTAAAATTTGAAGTGTTGTCTGGACTTATTGGTTTGTCGAGTTGGATTTGAGCTAATCGTTTCACTGATGTTTTTTCCAAACTTTTCTGTATAGCTGAAAAAAATAAAGACACTTCTTTCTGTTTTTTCTTGGAGGCTGAAGGGCAGAAGTGAACTCAGCAGTAAACACAAAAGCAGCAGCGGTGCCATGGTTGATTTGGGTTTTAATACAGTGAAACAGAAAACAAATCTTTGATCCCTGCTATTTTAGAAGCCACTTTACGAGTTCGCTGTATTCCCACCTCTCGCTCATTGACTGCTGGTGATCTCGTCCTCCTCACCCTGCAGTCCAAATCTCACAACAAACTGCCCTTGAAAGTCAGCAGCCCTGCAGATATTGTTTCTCCTGACAAAAAGAAATAAATAAGACAAACTTTTGTAACTCATTTTCAGCGTTTTTAGTTGACGTACAGGGATTAAAACGGAGCAGCTCCGATTTGAAGCAGGGCTGCTACGCTAATGTAGCAAACCGCAACATGTGATTGAGATAATAGCGCCAATTTACAAACAGCTGCCTCAGAAAAAATATCTACCATAGAGATGGGATGAATGGCTCTTTGAAGGGATCCAGATCTTGACAAGTCGTTTATTTCAMGAAACTTGATTTTTGAATGAGTGACATCATCACACTGGGAAATATGTCTTCCATACATTGTACGCGATGACATAGGTCCATCATCTGAGCGGTACCATCTCTTTTGTCAAGCAGAATCCACCCCTATGTGTGTTTTCAATGAAAATGTGAAGACTGTCTCTGTGGYTAAGCAGGAAMAAATAAAGATATTACGAGRRGTAAAATACTGTCTGYGACTAGATTCTTATTGTTTGTTCCGAGACGTTCAAAATGTCAGAAAATTTTGGATTTTTATTATTTTGAGATGAGTGGAACAGTGGTTAAAATTGTTGCCTCTCAGCTAGAAGTTGCAGGATTGCATCCCAGCCAGGGGACTATGTGTTCTTCCCATGCAGATGTGGGTTTTCTCCCACGGACTAAAAATATGCATGTTAGGTTAACAGGTACCTAAGCTGTGTCGCTCCAATGTGTTTTACGTACTGATTTAGTGTAATTCAATGAAAAAAATGTATTTATATTCTCACAATTTTCTTCCTCAAACTAGTCGTCAACAATGGCAGCCAGATCCAAGCTTTTTTAAATCTTGGAAGAATAAATATTTAATAATGTCATAAACTGAGTTTGTTATCTTTTGTATGTTTAATCTTTAGCTTTGGTCGGCGACTCGGAATACGCACCTTCAAAGTTRCCCTTTTGTCGAAGCAGATGATAACTGTGCTGTTAGGAACTGATAAACAGTGATCCCACAAAGCCACCACAATGTCATCCCTGCATGTGGTTTTAGATCGCACAACGGCGTGTAAACAGCACCAAAAATCAAGCTGTGAATATCCAGGAATTTACATTAGAAACACTGACTGTCTTTAAAACAAAATGCCCACGCCTCCTTACATCTCCCACCATATGGTAAGCAGATTTATTCTTGATTTTCATCTAAATTAGCTTTACTGAATACCATCTCTATTTTTTTTCTTTTTTTACTTTTAAAGATCAGGGTTTTATTAAGAATTAGTGCTTGNGATCAGGGTTTTATTAAGAATTAGTGCTTGCAGTAAATAAATTGCATATTTGCATCCAGCCTTTGTCARCGTATCAAGTCCAACGTGGGAGTTTAAAGTGGCTTCAGATGCACAAATTTAATCCAGTGATGCTGCTGGTGCTTTAATCCCTGGCTGCCAGTGGAGGCAGATGGTGGACCTAATGGAGTCCCATTCTGCTGGAGGTCACTTCATGTTAAAGGGGCARATTGTACCGTGATTGCTTCAGATGTGGAAACTGACTTAAAATGAAGGTTTGATGTGATCTGTTGCCCTTGCGGGTCTACTTGTTATTATTTATTTATTTATTTATTTATTTATTTATTGCAAATTTGAATAATGTAAAAAAGTCCTAGCATTCCGTGAGGTACTGTTCGATTCATGTTAGAGTTTTAAGATTATTCTATGATGAACATTGATGGAGTTATACAGTGGCTGTTTTGGTCAGACCACCAACATAAAGAAGACAGATAACATTTTATACAATCTTGTGTGATTTTTCAGCACTTGGAGTTATGGATGACTCACAACAAAGWTTTACCTCAATATTTTTTTTAAAACTCATTGAGTTACAGCCAATTTTTGTGTCTACTTAAGTTAACTAACTGTGGTGACCATCTTGAACTTGACTGACCCCCAGAGTTAATGAGCTGTAGATGTTAACCTGGTGATGATTACTTTCTGAGAGTTTCATTAAAGTCRGTCCAGTGGGTCAAGAGTTATTTTGCTAACAGACACAAATACACACACAGAGGCAAAACCATTTTAGTCTGCAGTGACTAGACTCAACTATACTGAGCAAGATGTAACAGTAGTTTTAGCTACATTAAAAAATAATATCTTGATTTCATTGTACATCAGCCTGTTTTGATGCCTCCAAAATAAAGGCACATCTCACGTGGCTTTTACTTTGAAGCGGTCACAGCAATAAACCTTTAACCAGCAGCGTGTTCATCAAAAATGTGCCAAACCACAACATTTTCTTATTGAAATATTCCAGTGTGATGCATGTTCCCAGTAAAACTGCACCCTGCTGACGTTTAGAAAAGTACTTAATAAAGTACTTATTAAAACAACTCAACCTTTGTGCTCAGCTGCTCTGTAAACACACGCCGAGTTGTTTAGGTGTGTGTTTGTTGCGGCAATAAACCAAACCAGAAGCTGCTGTGAGAGTACACAAGCGCTGAAATCTCAGAGATCAAAAGTTTAATAACCTATCGGTGTTTGCTTTTCGGTTTTGGTGTACTTTTAGGGGGGGRAAAAAGAAAGAAAAGATTTACACACTGTCTACACAGCGAAAACAGCAGCAATCCTCACTCACAGCGCGCTCATGCTCCAGAGTTGTTTTGCAGGTTGTGTGGTGGGAAAACAAAACAAGAAAAAAAAACAGGAACATACTGTATTTGCCTAATTAGATGCTCCTGAGCTTGCTTGTTCCAACAAGCTTTGAGTGTAAATAAAAATGCACATTGAATGAATCTTTTTTCCTGTAAAATGTGCAGCTGATGACTGCGTTTTTTGTTTTTTTCATCTTGTTGCATCTGCGGGGTGTCCTCTGAGGAGGCCCAAGGCCCATAAACGCCTGAAAGACATAACTAAGAGGGGGGAAGAGCCCACAGTGCTTATGAAGCTTTCAGCTCGTATAGTTGCATTGTTATTGAGACACTTTAATCTACAATTCCAAACATTTGTTGAATAAATCAAACTGAAACTGTAGAAATAAAAAAGCCATGCATTCCTCAAAGGAATGAATGTCATCCGTCACCTTTGATGGCAGAGTTTTAAATTAAAATTACTTCATGTTAAGAAATTATTAACATTTTAGCAAAACCTTAAAAATAACATTTTACATGATCTCACACTAAAGAATGTGTCGTGAATTAGTCTTGGCTGCAGCCACGCCCACTTTCAGCTCAACATCCCAAAAACGGACTGAGTTAGACCTTTTTGTGTCGAATAATATCGATTAGCTGTAGCAGCCGTTTTGCAATGGATCAGAGGCGGTTCTAGGGGTGGGGCCACAGGGGCATTGGCCCCAGCTGAAATCTGATTGGCCCCCTGAAGTGTCCCTGTCCTGTCATTCATCTGTCCTTTTCCTAGGACCAATGATGGCAGATACGTTCCATGTTCAAACATTACAGGAGCCATATGAGTCAAATTGGAAAGTCCAACATGAAAGAAGTCTTCTTATCTTCTTAAGAAAATCAGAGCAGAAAGTCTTTCAGCGGACAAATGACGACTAGATTTTCTCAAATGCTCCGTGTTTGAAAGTATTTTATCTAGTAAAAATGTATGCACACACACACACACACACACACACACACACACACACACACACACACACACACACACACACGTTTTAGTTTGAGAATTTTGTAAACATTTGTCCACT